CAGGATAATGCGTACATTTCTTACCAAGCATTGCAGCCTCCTCCTTTGTTTACCCTTCACCTCCCTTCCCAGCCTCCCCCCTCCCCCCCAATCCCAATCCTTCTCCTTCTCCCTCCATTCCCCCCCCTCCCCCCCCCCCCCCCCCCCTGCACCGACGTTGTAAAGCTCGTAAAACTGGTGAAATTCTTATTTCCAGTTAGCTCGCAAAACTCCAGAAGTAAATCTATGGCTCAAATAGTTGAGTACCCCTTGAGTGGAAGAGCCAAGCAAGAGCACAAAGCCCTGAGTTCAAGCCCCAGTATCCACACACACACACACAAAAAGTATCTACGGGCTGGGAAGGTGGCTCAGTGGTAGAGCACTAACCTTGCATGCATGAGGCCCTAGGTTTGATTCCTCAGCACCACAGAAGCAAAAAGGAAGTGGCGCTGTGGCTCAAGTGGTAGAGCGCTAGCCTTGAGCTGAAGAGCTGAGGGACAGCACCCAGGCCCAGAGTTCAGGCCCCACAACTGGACCCAAAAAAAAAAAAAAAAAAAAAACTATCTCTACAAACTACAAAAACAAAACAAATCTGGAAGTAGAGCTGTTGCTCATATGGTAAAGCACTATCCTTAAGCAAAAGAAGCTGGAGGACAGTGCTCAGGACTGAGTTCAAGCCCCAGGATACTCTCTCTGTGTCTCTGTCTCTTTCTGTCTCTCTCTGTCTGTCTGTCTCTCTCTCTCTCTCTCTCTGTCTCTCTGTGTCTCTCTATCTCTGTCTCTCTCTGTCTCTGTCTCTGTCTCTCTCTCCTCTCTCTCTTTCACACACACACACACACACTGAGTCTAGTCTGGTTTGTTTTTGTTTTTGTTTTGTTTTGTCGGTCTGGGGCTTGAACTATGGGCCTGGACACTGTCCCTCCCCTATTCAGCTCAAGGCTAGTGCTCTACTACTTGAGCCACATCACCACTTCTGGTTTTCTAGTGGTTAATTGGGTATAAGAGTCTCACGGAGTTTCCTGCTTGGGCTAGCTTTGAACCTCGGTCCTCAGATCTCAGCCTCCTGAGTAACTAGATTACAGGTATGAGCCATTGGTGCCCAGCTAGTCTGGTTTCTGATTCCTAAGTCACATACCAGCCTAGTGGTGACACCAGACTAATGAAAATTCTTAGTAGATCATGTGACTATTGACCTCTAAAGGTCTTCCTTTCTTCCTTCCTTCCATCCTTCCTTCCTTCCTTTCCCTTCCTTCCCCTTCCTTCCTTTCTCTTTCTTCCTTCATTTCTGTTCCTTCCCCTTCCTTCTTTCCTTTCTTCCTTCCTGTCTCTCTCCCTCTCTCTCTTTGCCTTCCTTCCTTCCTCCTTCCCTCCCTCTTTTTCCTCCTCCCTCCCTCCCTCTCTTCTCCATGCTGGGGACTCAACCCAGGTCTCATATACACTAGGCAAGCATTCTACTGCTGAGCCAGGCCACTAGACTTTATGTAGTACCAAAATCCCTACAAATTACTTTCCTGCTCCTACCTGTCTACCTCCCCAACTGTCCGTGCTCTTACCTGCCTTCCTGTCCCCCAAATGTGGACAAGGCAGAACCCCCTCTGTCACCTCTTTCTGCTTATGTGAAACCATCTTTCAAAGAACATTTTTTAAAGATTGAATAATTTCTTTTTTAATGTTTTTTCTAAATTTTTTGAATTTTATTGTAAAGGTAATGTACAGAGGGGTTACATTACATAAATCAGGTAATGAGTACATTTCTTTTTGAGTGGTATCACCCCCTCCCTCATTTTCTTCCAATTTTTCCCCTCCTGACCTCCTCCCCTGAGGTTGTATAGCTCATTTCCAACATAGTGTCTAGTTCAAAAAAAATCTTTTTTAAAAAAAATTTATTGTAAAGGTGATGTAGTTCAAAAAATTCTTAAGGTCCTATCCATCTGGACAGACTCAGGAAGTGCTACCAAGATAAAAGAACAGAAAAATCCTTTCAAGCTGAATGCACGGTCTTATCCTGGACACCAGCGCATTACTGCTCCTGCTGCCACCATTAACTCCTATTATCACCAATCCGCCACTGCTAGCCTACACTCCAAGTATTATTAACTCAGTACGAGTTGCTTTCTACACTCTTTCTGCCAGTCCTAGCCTTGTGATATTAAAATTATCCCTATGGAAGGTGCAGTGAATGAACCCTGTTAGTTAGAAACCCTGTTAGAGACAGGGTTTTCAACATGGAGAAGGTAAGGCTCTGGGAAAGCAGGGTCTGGACCTCCTCCATGATTGTTTGGTTACAACATGGATGGAGTCTCTCTTTTATCACATTGGTATAGTGCGAGGACCACAGTAAAATAAAAAAATAAAATAAAATGTACCCACGGCTCAAGCCCTAATGGGAAAAGCAGTTAAAAGCCAACGAAATAAATGTAATCGATTGAGCTTGTGGTAAGTGCCATGAAGAAATGATGGGTGCACTGTGAAGACAGAGGCAAGTGTGAGTTGGGAAGATGAGGGCCACATAGGCTGTCTGGAGCTCCATCTCCAGACAGGTGGCCTCAAATAAGCAGAGGGAGCCATGCAGAATGAGGACCAAATAGGAGGTGGAAGGCAAAGCCTTCCCTAAAGAAATTACATGTGATTTTCCCGTAATACCTGGAGTCTTCCAATAACTCTGTGTCTGTGTGTGTGTGCACGTGTGTGCGTGCACGCGCCAGCATTAAAACTTGAACTCAGGCCCTGGACACTGCCTCTAAGCATTTTAGCAGAAGGCTAGCATTCTACCACTTGACCCATATCTCTGCTTCTAGCCTTTTGGTGGTTAACTGCAGATGCGAGTCACCGACTTTCTTTTCCTGACTGGCTTCAAGCTGCAGTCCTCAGATCTCAGCCTCCTGAGTGGCTTGGACTACAGGCATGAACCACCAGCATCCAACTCAGTCCTCTAAGTTTTACAAGCTCTGCCCACCCTGTCATCTTGCCAAGCACAGAATCTTAAAAGTGACACGGCACTGGCCTAGCCACGAATCTACACTCTGAAGAGAGTGCATGTATAATGGCCAACAATAAACTCAGCTCTTACTATCTGGACCCAAAGCTCAATATTAGCATTTCCCAGGGAAGTGAGCCTGACCTTGGATTCCTGGTCTCTACAAGTCTGTCACGGGGCAGCCACCTCATTCAGACTGTTCAACCCGCTTTCTGGGCTGGGAATGTGGCTTAGTAGTAGAGTGCTTGCCTCCCATGCATGAAGCTCTGGGTTCCATACCTCAGTACCACTAAAATAGAAAAAGCCAGAAGTGACGCTGTGGCTCAAGTGGTAGAGTGCTAGCCTTGAGCAAAAAAGAAGCTCAGGGACAGTGCCCAGACCCTGAGTTCAAGCCCCAGGACTGGCAAAAAAAAAAAAAAAAAAAAAATATCTGCTGCCTGTTTCCCAACAATTCACCAGGATAGGGGAAATACAAAACAGGATTGATTCACGTTTAGGATTGGCTGGGTGACAGTCACATGGGAGTTCTTCATAATATTTTTATTATTATTATTTCTGTTGGAAATTTTCTAAAATAAAAGTTTCTTTTTAAAACTCACATCATCCCACTATTACCAAAAAAATCACATCATGATATCATTCTCTGGGTTTTTTTTGCATACATTTTTTTTCCATAATTAAAACATTTAACTCCTCTTTTTTTTTGGGGGGGGGAGTTGGTTTTGTGGCTTGGATTCAGAGACTGGGCACTGTCCTTGGGCTCTTTGGCTCTACTACTTGGAGCTACAGCATCACTTCCAGTTTTCTGGTGCTTAATTGGGGATAAGAGTCTCCCTGGCCTTTGAACTGCTATCCTCAGATCTCAAACTTCTGAGTAGCTAGGATTATGGGCCTTAGCCACCAGCACCTGGCTTTTAACTCATCTTACATGCCTGTTATCCCTCTACTCAGGAGGCTGAGGCAAGAGTTTTGCAAGTTTGAAGCCAGCCTGGGCTTAGAGAGACCTGTATCTATAACACAAACAAACGAAATCTCAGTTTGTGGCATTTTGAGGGTGGCTCATTGTGCGAGATCCTGAGTTCAATCCCCAGCACCACAAAAGAAATAAATAAACAACCGACCTTACCTTGATCCTTCTATTCTTTTCTACTCACCTGTGTTTGGATCTTTCCAAAATAGAAAGCTTTAGGAAGCCTGGTCAGAGGCCTTCCTTGACAGTGTCCTAGCTAACCCTTCACTTGCCTGTATAACTTAGCAATTATTACTGCCAGGCATGTGGTTTTCAGCTCCAGGAAGCAAGGGCCTTGCTTCCTTTCACTGTTAACCCCAAAGACATCATAGCAGTGTCTGACACAGGTCCACAAAGTAAGGCTGGAATCTAAATGCTGATCTACACCCCCACTGTCTTCTAAGACCTGGAATCCTAGTCTCTGTTTATAAACGCGCGCGCGCACACACACACACACACACACACACACACACACACACACACACACACACACAGAGCCAAAACTAAAGGATCTGAGTCCCAGGCCCTAGTATCCTGAACAGGTGAATGAGCACATGAATGAATGCACGCATGAATGAGTGAGTAAGTAAATGGCCCTAAGTCAGATATTCAGAACCCCTCAGTGCGGACTTCCTGGGTTCTTTCCCCAAGTCGCTTTTCAAAATCAATCCTCCACCCCGAGCAGTTTCGCCAAGGGCACTCTGCGAGCTACCTGCCTCAGTGTCCCCGGAGATCCGGGAGCCCCTCTGCCAGCCCCGCACACTTACCCGTCCCCACCCTCCCTGGAAAGTTGGAGGAAAGTTCCCCAAGTGGCTTTATGTGAGAGCTGAAGTTGGCACGCCCCGTTTGGTGGAGAAGCCAGAGGCGACCGCAGAGGGCCCCCCCCCAGACCCTTCCGGTCCCCGAGCCCCCCCTCCCGAGCCGCCGGGCCTTGGGGCGGGGACCCCGGGGCTGTCCTAACCGGGCGGGGCGGGGCGGGGTCGCGCTCCTCCCCTGGCCCCGCGGGGGGCGGGGGGGGGGGCGGGAGCCGCCCGAGGGGCTGCGCGCCGCGGCGGAGGTCCAGCCCGGACTCCGCACCCCGCGGCTGCGGCAGCGATCGGGGACCCCCGGCCCGCCGACGCCCAGGTAAAGCTCCAACTCGCCGCCAACTCGCTTAAGTTGCGGCAGAGTTCGCCGGGCCCCGCCGCGGGGCTGCGCGGCCCCTGCGGGGACGGGGAGCTGGGGAGGGGGTCCTTCCGCGTCGGGGTGGGGTGAGGGCTTCAGGCCCGGGGCGCACAGGGATGAGTGGACCCGGACCAGCAAGCCCACCGCCCTAGGGCCCCGGGCTCGCACCCAGCACCCCGGGCTGGAAGAGCTCAGACGCAGGCTCCAGAACGGCACTGGCTTTCCCGCGCCCTCGGGGCTCCTCCGGGGGCCCCGTCCGGTCACCGAGCCCGGGCCTGGGCCGCCCCGCGGCTCCCCCCAGCCCCCGACCGCAGCTGGAGGCCGTGGCTCCGGCCCTGCTGAATTTTTCACGCAGGGGGCGGGCCGGACACGCCGTTCCCATGGCACCCAGGCGCTCGGGTTACAGCCCGAGGGATCCCCGAGTTCCTCCCCCCCACCACGACTGCCTTTGGGGAGTTAGCTCTCTTGGGATCCGGCCGCGGGCCTGAATCCCACCCCCGGGGCGGGGGGAGCCCCGAACCCGCTTCTGCACCCCCTCCAATAATGCAGACCGTGAGAAAGATCTTCCCTAAGGAGGGTCTGGCGCTCTGACCGGGAGGGGCGCGTCTGTGCACACTCGGGGTGCCTCCCTCCCCCCCCCCACCCCAGGCTGCCCTGCCGGTGTCAGGGGCAGGGTCATCCTAAGGGCACGCGGCGTGACCTCTGGCTGTGCACTCCGTGTCTGTTCCCAGGCGGCGCAGACACCCCTTTTAGGTGGACCCAGGTTTAGGCTGGGACTGAAGCCGTAATACAGCCACCCCCAAGAAGATGAGGTGTCTACTTCCCATTTGAACAAGAGCGGACGCCAAAGGAAACCAGAGGCGCTCACAAGAAGGAAGGACGGACGGAAGGAAGGAAGAAAGGAAGGAAGGAAGGAAGGAAGAAAGAGAAGGCCTCTCCCATCAAGGATGACACTGAACACCCAACAGGAAGCAAAGACTCCCCTGCGCAGGAGGGCTAGCACTCCGCTACCCCTGTCATCCAGGGGCAACCAGCCTGGCCGCCTGTGCACAGCAGCCCCTGCCACCCAATCCCAACATCCCCGGCTGGGCCAGTCAGTGTCCCTCAACCCTCCCAGCCGAAAACCTTCTCCTGCCCCCGATGGCTGGTCGTCTGAATCCAGCGACTCTGAAGGCTCCTGGGAGGCCCTGTACCGTGTGGTGCTGCTCGGAGATCCAGGCGTGGGGAAGACCAGCCTGGCCAGCCTTTTCGCAGGGAAGCAAGAGAGGGACCTCCATGAACAGCTTGGAGGTAGGAACCCTGTGGGACAGGCTGGGATGTGGCTGGAGGACTGAAAGGTCTGTCACCAGGGCCAGAGGGCTGCCAGGAACGTTGTATACATTATGCACCGTTCAACTGAAAGGGGCATGGCACCAACTATGAGGTGAATGATGTTCACCCAGTAGTGGACAAGACACGACCTGCCTGCAGCAGGTTCAAACCGGCTCGATCCGGCTCAAACCGGTTCAATCTTGTTCAAACCGGTTTGATCCAGTTCAATCCGGCTGAAACTGGTTTAAAAAACCGGCACGATCTGGCTCAAACCGGTTCAATCCTGTTCAAACCAGTTTGATCCGGTTCAATCCGGCTGAAACTGGCTCAAACCGGCTCGATCCGGTTCAAACCGGTTCAATCCTGCTCAAACCGGTTCAAACCGGCTTGATCCGGTTCTATCCGGCTCAAACCGGCTTGATCCGGTTGAAACAGGTTCAAACCGGCTCGATCCGGTTCAGTCCGGCTCATACCGGTTCAAACCGGCTTGATCCGGTTCAATTCGGTTGAAACTGGTTTCAGCCGGATTGAACCGGATCAACCCGGTTTTGAACCGGTTTGATTGAACTGGATCGAGCCTGATTGAGCCGGTTTGAACTGGCTTGAGCCTGATTGAACCAGATCAATCCGGCTGAAACCGGATCAAGCCGGATTGAACCGGTTTCAGCCGGATTGAACCGGATCAAAACCGGTTTGATCCTGATGGAACCGGATTGAGCCGGTTCGAACCGGTTCAGCCGGATTGAACCGGATCCAGCTGGTTTGAGCCGGATCGAACCGGCTTGAGCCGGATTGAACCGGTATCAGCCGGATTGAACCGGTTCAAACCAGTTTGAGCTGGATAGCTGGGTTGAGCAGGATTGAACCGGATCGAGCCGGTTTCAGCCGGATTGAACCGGATCGATCCGGTTTGAACCGGTTTGAGCCGGTTTGAACTGGCTTGAGCCTGATTGAACCGGTTTCGGTTTGAGCTGGACTGAACCGGTTTGGGCCGGTTTGAACCGGATCGAGCCGGTTTGAACCGGTTTCAGCCGGATGGATCAAGCCGGCTTGAACCGGTTTGAGCCGGATTGAACCAGATCAAGCCGGTTTGAACCAGTTTCAGCCGGCTCAAGCCGGTTTGGGCCGGATTGAACCGGTTTGAACCGGTTTCAGCCGTTGCAGGCCTGGCTGAGGGAGGGAGGGAGTGGTTAAAAGCAGAGAGAAAGTAGGGACCTTCTGGCCAGCCTTGACCCTCCTGGGAGTAAGAACCCATAGGTTACAATGGAAAAATGGAGGCCCAGCACAGGTGCCAGAGACAGAGCAGGTCTGGGAGAACCTCCTTCTCCCCATCATCCACAACCCCACACTCATCCAACCAATCAAACCAGCTTTCTCAGAACCACCACAGACCCATGTTGTGCTGGCAACTGGGGAGATATAGACTCCACCAGGGGCTTCTTGGCCTTCTAGGAAAGTTAGTGATAGGTTTTCAAATGAGTGTGCCCCAAGCAGCAGATGAGAAAGTCAGGGAGCCCCATACCTCCGAAAGCCCTGCCAGCCCTGAGGTGTGCTGTCTCCTTGGTTGCAGATGTATATGAGAGAACCCTCACAGTGGACGGAGAGGACACCACACTGGTGGTCATGGACACCTGGGAGGCAGAGAAACTGGTAGGACACTACAAGAGTGGGTGACAGGAAGGGGGCGGAGCCTCTTACAGAGACACCTGGCCCTCCCTCTGAGGCCAGACAGAGCAGGGTTCAGAGCAAGGGCCATCCTCAACCTCCCTTTCTCCAAACCCAAAGACCTCCTCTCAGGGCTGGGAAGGTGACTCAGTGGTAGAGCACTTGCCTTGCATGTATGAGGCCCTGGGTTCGATTCCTCAGCACCACATAAGCAGAAAAAAAGAAGCCGGAAGTGGTGCTGTGGCTCAAGTGGTAGAGTGCTAGCCTTGAGCTGAAGAGCTGAGCCCAGGCCCAGAGTTCAGGCCCACGACCAGACCCAAAAAAAAAAGACCTCCTCTCTCCTGCACCCCCTCCCCAGCCATCCCAGGATGCACTTCTCCCCACACAGGCCTCCAGGTCCTTTCCACCACCCCACCCCCTCCTACCTTAGCCACCCACATTGTGCAGAAAGATGAACACAGGATTGGGGAGCAAAATGCTAAGCTGACCTTTCCCCACCCTCCTCCCCCTGCCCCGTTTTCTTCTTATTTTGATTTGTGCACTTGACTTACGACTCTGAGCTTCAGTTTTTCTTACCTGATAAATGGCTCAGGCACTCTTGTTTTTCTGACTTTGTTTTGCTGTTGCTGTTGATTTGGTTTTGGTTCTGGCATGGAATCCACCCAGCTAAGCATGTTCAGAATCAGCTTTACCACTGAGCTGTACATCCCCCCACCTCAAACCCCACCAGCAGCTGATTTTTAAATTCTCTTATGCAATTCCACACAAGTGAGCCCAGTTTTTGTTTTGTTTTTTACTTAGTTTTTGTTTTTTGTTGTGGGGCTTGAACTCAGGGCCTAGGCACTGTCCTTAAGCTTTTATGCTGAAGGCTAGTGCTCTACCAGTTTGAGCCACAGCTCTACTTTCAATTTTCTGGTGGTTAATTCTCTGGGCTAGCTTCTAACCACAATCTTCAGATCTCAGCCTCCTGAGTATTACAGACATGAGCCACCAGCATCCAGTAGTGAGCTCAGCTTTACAGCATCAAAAAAGTGCTGAGGGGCTAAAAAGGTGGCTCAGTGGTAGAGTGCTTGCCTTGTATGCATGGGGCCCTGGGTTCTATTCCTCAGCACCACATAAGCAGAAAAGGCTGGAAGTGGAGCTATGGCTAAGTAGTGAGCACTAGCCTTGAGCTGAAGAGCTGAGGGACAGTGTGCCTAGGCCCAGAATTCAGGCTCTATGACTGACAAAAACAGAAAACAAAAACAGAAAAAAAAAAAGTGCTGAGGAGGGGTGGAGAAGTAGGTGTGTAGTAATTTGTATTCATGAAAATTTGGTTGTTATTGAGAAAAGTAAACATAGGTTATCCTTCCCCACCCGCTTCCAGAGCAGGAAGTGAACACAAGGACTTCTCTAGATATTTTATCTTGTTAGGGTGTCCTTTTCTCTTGCTACACAGGTAATATATGCTCATTGTAACACTTTGAGAAAATACACCTAAGCAAAGAGAAGGATCCAAAAATCACCTGGGGTCTAAGGAGTAGACCTTCCCCATAACAGGGAGGCCTCACCCACAGTGTGAGACTGAAGAATGACTGACCACTCCAGGAATAGACCCAAAGAATAGTTTTTACAACAAGCATAAAAGGGAACCCAGGTCCAAATGAGTGTAACAGCAGTAATGATTCTTAGAATGGCAGTTGACATTAATGGGGTACCAAAGTCTTCTAGTTCCCATCTACTGATAAGAAACTGAAGCTCAGAGGGGTTCATGTGTCCAAAGCTTTGAAGGAGCAAGCAGGTTTCAAACCCAGATCTGCAGAACCTCAGAACTTAAGACTCTGATGCACAAGAACTCCTCCCACCTCTCCTGGGAGCATCACCTTGTGAGCCTTTAGTTCAAGTTTCACCTCCTCACCCATTCATTCATCCAGAAATCCTTCCTAGTTGTCTATCAGGGACCAGGATGCTGGAGACAGAGCAGTGAGTCAGGTAGCTAGGTCCCCTGGCTTTTAGGCTGGAGAGGGCAGATTTGCTTTCTAGAGGCAGTTGAGAATTCCATCAGGGCAGAATCCAGTAATCAGATTGGATGTCCCATACTAAAGAATGGGGAGACCAGAAGGCAGGATCTAGTCACACAGCTGTGTGACTATGAGAATGTTTTCTGTCACCTCTGACCTTTCCTACCAGGGAAATGAGGAAACTGAACCCGTGTTCCTGGTTGGTGACTGTGGAGAGAGTTCCCAGAGGGGCCTGAGCAGGAACGGCAGCCTTCCTGGAACAGGCATCTCATCCTTTCCATGTGTGGGCCTAGATGATCGTGTGTGGTCAGACAGGCAGGATCTAAGCGAACCTGATGGGCCTTTGGCTCATCTAGTACTGCCTGGCTTAGCTGACTGTTGCAGTTACCTGAAACGTATTGCAAAATTAGAATCTCAAGTCCCACTCAGACCGAATGAATAACAACCTCTAAATGGGGGCTCTGGAACCTCCATTTTCAATTACATGTTCAATGGCTACCACTCCAAGTGCCAACTGGATTTGGTGGCCCTAACACATAAAAATGCACCCACATGTGTGTGTATATGAATGAAAAGCTACCTGCCCTCCTGTCTTCTAGATGGGGAAACTGAGATGCAGGGGAGAGGAAACTGTCCCCCATAGTTAAGGATGAAAGCCCCTATCTATCTGACATCACCCAAGGTTATTTGGCCTGGGGAATGATCAGTATGGCTGTTGAGAACTTAGGCCTTTGTCAATGATATTGACCGATTATTATGTTTATATTATTTTCCTGATTTCGTCTCTTACAGCCAACGCTTCTAACCACACCCTCTATGTGTTTCACTCTCTAGGCCATGGCACCAACTATACTCTTTTGTCTAAAAATCTCTTCTGTCTTGCTGGGTATGCTTAGACCATTCACTAGTCCACTTACTGGCCCGCCCACACACTCTGCTAGGCTGAGCTCATGCCTTGCCCCAAGCCTTCTCTGGCTACCTATATATGCCTTTCCTAATGCTAATGCACTGTGACTTTCCATCCCCAGAGGCTCTGACCATAAACTTGGAGACCATAACTGTGTCTTATTAAACACTTAGAAGCATTATCACCCAAGTGGTCTCTGACAATCCAAAACAGAAGTTCAACCTCACTTCAATTCTTTCCTAGGGGCTTGAACTCAAGGCCTTGCACTTACTAGGCAGCTGAGCCACAATTCCAGCCCTCTTCACTAGATAGGCCCAGTGTCAAACCAAAATCCTCCTACCTATGCTTCTCATGCAACTAGGATTACAGGCATACATGGCAACTTGAGTTATTGTTGAGATGGAGTCTCACTACTCACTAACATTTTGTGTGAGCCAACTGGTATTTCAGTCCTCCTAATTGCTACCTCCTCAGCAACTGGGATTATAGGGATGAACCACTATGCCCAGCTCAGGACACCACCTCTTAAAAGTACCCTCTGACATGCCCATTCACAGTTGCTGCTGCTTCTGTCCCTTCAAAAGAGTCCTGAAAAGAGCCTCTTCTAAAGTCAGCCTCCTGTCCTCACTTCTCTCACTTCTTTGTTTTTCAAAAAAATTCTGGACAGGGCTGGGAAGGTGGCTCAGCGGTAGAGCGCTTGCCTTGCATGCATGAAGCCCTGGGTTCAATTCCTCAGCACCACATAAGCAAAAAGAAAAAAGCCGGAAGTGGCGCTGTGGCTCAAGTGGTAGAGCGCTAGCCTTGAACTGAAGAGTTGAGGGACAGCACCCAGACCCAGAGTTCAGGCCCCACGACCGGACCCAAAAAATTCTGGACCACAGATGTCTAAAAAGGACATCTGGTAAGGCCACACTCTCCTCAGAGACCAGACAAAGAGGTGAAGAGACAAAGCCAAAAAGCCCCCTCAGCAGGAAGGAAGTCCTGTGCCAGGCCACAAAAGTCATCAATGAATGGAAGAGTCAAAGCAAGTCCTGTCTACCTGATTTTTCAAGCAGGGAAATTGGGGCTAAGAGGGAATGGGTAGTTTTCCCCAGGTGACATACAGGATTATACCAGAATCTGTCCCCCTAAATGATCTAGAGTAGTACCTGAACTCCAGCCCCACTCTCGGGGCTTGAACTCTGGCCCTGGGCACTGTCCCTGAGCAAGGCTAGTGCTCTTCCACTGGCGCCACAGTGCCACTTCTGGCTTTTTCTGAGTAGTTTATTGGAGATAAGAGTCTCACAGACTTTCTTGCCTGGGCTGGCTTTGAACCACGATCCTCAGATCTCAGCCTCCTGAGTAGCCAGGATTATAGGTGTGAGCCCCTGGTGCCAGGCCCTAGCCCCACTCTTTACACCAACCACAGCTCTCTCTCAGGCAGGGCCTAGGCAGCACCTGAAGATGGCCCATCCTTCCCCCACAGGATGGAAGCTGGAGCCAGGAGTCATGCCTGCAGGTGGGCAGCGCCTATGTCATCGTGTACTCCATCGCAGACCGAGGCAGCTTCGAGAGCGCCTCAGAGCTCCGCATCCAGCTGCGCCGCGCACATCGTGCAGACCACGTGCCCATCATCCTTGTGGGCAACAAGGCAGACCTGGCCCGCTGCAGGGAAGTCTCTGTGGAAGGTGAGCCTTTGCCCTGCCCTCTGACCCTCAGCCCCAATCCATCCTTATCCTGCAAGCTACTTGCCTGGGCTGGAAAGCTCTCTCAACAACTCCCTCCCCTCCTCCCCTGCAAAAAGAATTCCCAAGTTCTGCCAGCCTTCTACCCTACCCTGAATACCCATGGCCTCTGCCTTATCCTGACAACCCCACTTTGTTGGCATCAGTTCCTCTACTTCTCCAGCCTCATCCAATCCTGCTCCCAGAGATGAACCTGTCACTTCTTTGCTTAAAATCCTCCCTGGGGCTCCAATGCCCACACTCAGGGACACCTTATCCCACATACACACATCATACCACACTCAGGGACACCTTATCCCACATACACACATCATACCACATGATTGGCCCCCAATTTTTCAAGGGGTTACATTGACAAGCTGAAAAAAGCAACAACAAAACAACAAAAACTTACTGGCTCCAAAACAAAGTAGTGGAGAGATTATAAAGTCAAATTTTTACAAAGCCTTGTCTTAAAAAAAGAAAAAAATTTTGATATGCACTAGTCAGCTACTAAAATCAAAATGTTGACTGTTATTTATAAATTATAATTACTGGGGGATGGAGAATATTTTAATACACTCTACATTTCTGGTAGGGCCCATAAAAATCATAAAAATTATCCTACTGCCAGGTGTGGTGGCTCACCTCTGTAATCCTACCAGCTTAGGAGGCTGAGATCTGATGATTTTAGAAAAGTTCATGAGACTCTTTATCACCAATTAACCACCAAAAAGCCAGAAGTGAAGCTGTGGCTCAAAAAAACCTCAGGGACAGCACCGAGGCCCTGAGTTCAAGCCCCAAGACTGGCCACACACACACACACACACACACACACACACACACACACACCACCTTACTCATAGAGTAGAATCTTAAAAACATGAAAAGTGAGACTCAGAAAGGGAACGTGAGTTCCACAGACCTGGCATTGAGGATTGGAATTCTGGCCACTGTCTCCAAGCCCAGTGTCCTCCTGGAAGTGGAAGACCATATATTTTGCAGACAGACAATCCCCAAAACACTGCAACATAATGTGCAGATTGTTAAAAACAAAAACACAGACCCATCCTACACTTACAGAATCGGAATCCTCAGGGTGGGCCCAGAATCTGCACTTTCACAAGCCCTTCCTGGTACTAACCTTAGGCCTCTGACCTGGCAATTCAGCCTGGTCCTGGTCTCCCTGCCCTCCCAGCCTAGTTCTGCTGCCTGTTATCTATCAGTATATACCTGTTATCTATCAGTTTATACTAGACTGAATTATCTCCACAAAGCTCCACAATGCTTTAGCTGACCCTCCTGCCCCCCCCCCACCCCCCCTCCCACACCACACCTGCACCGCACCAGGTGGGGCACAGGGAAAACTGCTGCCCGTAGAGTCTGAACACACCTCCTTTGTCTCCGCCCTCTGCTTTTGGCTCCACCCACCTCGGCTCTCCTGACCTCGCCCCTTCAGAGGGCCGCGCCTGCGCCGTGGTGTTCGACTGCAAATTCATCGAGACTTCAGCCACTCTGCAGCACAACGTGGCCGAGCTCTTCGAGGGCGTGGTGCGCCAACTGCGCTTGCGCCGCCGGGACAGTGCGGCCGCGCAGCCGCCCCCGGCCCCGCGACGCCGGGCCAGCCTGGGCCAGCGCGCGCGGCGTTTCCTGGCTCGCCTGACGGCCCGCAGCGCCGGCCGCCGGGCGCTGAAAGCCCGCTCCAAGTCCTGTCACAACCTGGCCGTGCTCTGAGGCCCCGCTCCGGCCTGGCGGTGCGGGACGCTGGAGGGCACCGTTGCCTGGAGTCGGAGGGCGCACCTGGACCCGGGGCGTGGCCTGAAGGACCCTTCGCCCAGAGAAGTGGGGTTCGGACTGCGGGCCGTGTAGCACCCAGCATGGGCTTTCGTGGGTGTCTGCTTGTAAATACCTTCCCTGTCCCTGGGCCCTGAGCAACACCCCCCCCACACACACACACACCCCGAAAACTGCCACAAATAAAGCAGTCCAGGATGCCCTGTCTCAACAGGCAGACCTGTCCTCCGGTTCTGCCTGGCGTCTCCACCCGGCCCCGCCCATCTGCACTGGCGGATTCCGGCCGCAGCCTGCTAGCCTGGGCCTCCTGGCCAATCTCGGGGGACCAGCTGTCCACTTGGGCCCTTCTCCCACCTCGATACAGTTAGGCACAGTCCCTGGCCCAGGGCTTTGAGAGGAACACGTAGATCACAAAGCAACCACAATGTCATGTGACCTGCTATTGTTTCCCAATTCGTTCTTTTTTTTTAAACTGCAGTCATAAATTATTATCTGGACGGAACTATCATCTTGGCAAAATAGTAATAGCTGGTGTTTGTGGGAGGTGACTGTCACTCTGTTCATCTGCAGAAGCCCTGAGAGGAGGATACTTAGTACCTTTACCCATCTTTGACTAATCAAGATTAGTCAAAACTAATCGAGACAGGATCAGACAATTACTGCAAGGGAAGTTGCCAGGATTCCAGGTCAGGCTGGGTCCACTAGAGTCTGTGTGTGACTTTTTTACAGTCTTTCAAAAATGTGTTAGGGAAGATGAGGCATGATGGCACATACCTGTAATCCCAGCTACTCAGGAGGCAGAGATAGAAGGATCCTGATCTGTGGCCTTCTGAGGTAAGACTCATCAAAAAAAAAAAAAATTAAAGCAAAAGGGGCTAGAGGTATGTCTTAGTGGTTGAGTGCTTACTGGCAAGCTTAAGGCCCTGAGTTCATTTCCCAGTATGCTTAAAAACTGAGAGGAAGAAAGAATGTGTGCATTGGGGAAGGGGGGAGTTGGGGGTACACTCCTAGAGTAAGAGTACATTTCTAGCATGTGTAAAGTTGTGGGTTCCAAATCAGCACTGGGAGAGAAGAAAAAAGGGAGAAAGTAAGGGGGGGAGAGGAGAAGGGGAAAGGAGAAGAAGGGAGAGGAGAAGAGAGGAGAAAAGGAAAAGAAAAAAGGCAGAGGAGGTAATGTTAAAACTCTTGGGGGGGGGGAGAGATTTTTATACATTTTGCATACTTTTGAAAGAACACTAGGCATGCGCTCCATGAAACAAATTTATTCACCCCCAAGACAGACCCCAATTTAGGCCCACCTACTCATTTCAAAAGTGGAAACTGAAGCCCAGAGAGATGAGTGAGCAGCCTAGTATCACTGGGCCCTGGAGTACTAGGCCCCAGGGCCCAGACTTCTCCTCCTCCACCCAGCTCCCTCTGGCTGTGAGGGAGGAAGGAGACAGAGAAGCATCCATCCAGGCTGGGGTCAGAGCTGGGTGTAAGGGGTCAGGTCAGGAGTTTCCAGCTTGCGGAGGGGGAGGGTGTCACTCCTCTGAAAAGAGAACAGGACACCATCAGTTAGGACCATGGTGTCTCTGATGCCTGACACCCTGTCTGCCCCTAACCAGCTGCCTGTCCAGATGCTTGAGCCTGTACTGGGCCAGGTCCTGGCTGCAGAGAACACAGGACAGGGCAAGACCTCAGGCAGAGAGGGTAAAGCACATCTTCCAGCGGTGCCCCTCCCTCTGTGGTGGCCCCCATCCCAACCCCAGCCAGAGGAAGGGAAGAAGAGGAGGGTCTTCCCCACCCTGAGCTGTCTCCGGCTGTGGTGGGAGCGTGGGGGGAAGGGTTATAACTGTGGAAAGTTGGCAAAAGCAACCGGCAGCAGCCGGGAGAGTGGAAAAAATGATATCAAACCCGGAAAAATGCAGGCCAAGCCGGATGAAGGGCTGGAGTCAGCCCTGGGAGGGAGGAGGGAGCAGGGCAATGACAGAGACTGAGAAAGAGGGGCCAGGGAGAGTTCATGAGCAGGACCCACAAAAGCGAGGGACGTGGCCTTCTGTCCCTCCTTTCTTTCTTTCTTTTATTTTATTTATTTATTTTGGCCACCGTGGGGCCTGAACTCTGGGCCTGGGCGCTGTCCCTCAGCTCTTCAGCTCAAAGCTAGTGCTCTACCACTTGAGCCACAGCGCCACTTCTGGCTTTCTGGTGGTTAATTGGAGCTAAGAGTCTCATAGACTTTCCTGCCCCGGCTGCCTTTGAACTACGCTCCTCACTCAGATCTCAGCTCCCTCATGTTCCACACATATGCTAAACTAAAATAATAATAAGGTTCTTGGCACAATCCCTATGCCTAAGAAAAGTGTTCAGTGTTGGCTGCCACAGTCACGTCTTAACAACTGAGGGACCCATAGATAGGCTAGCCTAGCACTGGTGGCTCACGCCTGTAATCCTAGCTACTTAGAAAGCTGAGTTCTGAATATCACAGTTTGAAGCCAGCCTGGGAAGAAAAGCCTGTGAGACTCTTATCACCAACTAATCACTAAAAAGCCAGAAATGGAGCTGTGCCTCAAGAGGTAAAACACCAACCTTGAGTGGAAAAAGCTAAGGGACAGTGCCTTGAATTCAAGACCCAGTACCAGCACACACACACACACACACACACACACACAGGCTGGAGGTGGTAGAGTGGCTCAAGTGGTAAAGTGCCAACTAGACAAGCAAGAAGAACTAGTATAAGGCCCTGAGTTCAAACCCCAGTACCCAAATATGTATGTGTGAGAGAGAGTGAGGGGAGAGAGAAAGACAAAAAGAGAGAGGGAGAGGGAGAGAGGGAGGGAGAGGGAGAGGGAGAGAGAGGCTACGACTATGAAGTCTGTGAAGCTCTGTCTAGCCATGATGCCACCGGAGAACTTTAGAAAACTTTTGTGTCTCAGTTTTCCCATCTGCAAAATAAAGGGATTGCATCTGAACTTAGGCACTGTAATTATGTGCCCCCATATCTGTTGTCCGACCTCCCCCAGAAGCAGGAACAGGATTAAAGTGCTGCTCTGACTTAGCACCTACGACGATGCAGGGCTTGTACAGGTGTTCAGTAAACATCGATTGAATGGTCTAACTCACTGACAGGAGAAATGGCCCTTCCCATCCCCACTTCTCATACCCAGATGTGTGTGAACAAGACACAGCTGACAGAGCATGTGAGAAAACCAAGAGACTGTAACGAAGGCACAGACTATATGGTTTGGAAAGTTCCTTCTCGTCCATAAAAACAGAGATCACTAATGATGTCAGCTCTGTCTGTGAGCCGGCACTGGGTATCCCACCGTGCCAGGTCATGCTTTCTCATCTCGTCTCTGCAGAGTAGGAACCACTGAACAGATCAGCTCATTGAAGGAAGAGAAGCTAAGAAATCGGTCCAAGACCACACAACCTCAGAAGGCTGTGCAGAGGCAGGCTGGACACTGATGCCTTAGAAGAGCAGAGAGAGGAGATGAACTGTCCAAAGTCAAAGTCATGAACTAGTCACTGAAGCCACAGCTCTCTTACTATATTCCAAGTGCTCTTCTAGGTGCTTTTCATAATGGACTTATTAAAGGCTCAAATCTACCGGTAGGATTACCACACCAGTTTTCAAGTGGAGAAAGTAGAGCTCAGAGAGGGTTCAGCACTCTGCCAAGATTTCACAGCAAATAGCAGAGCCAGGATTCAAGCCAGGAAAGCCAAGCCCCACAGTAAGGGTTTATCTAAATTGTACCATGGGCCCAGCTAGCCCAGCACAGCCTGCCATGAAAGGGGAGGAGTCTTCTCCGTACTCTGCTGACTGGGCCTGGGCCTGGCAGAGAACAAAAGCGCATAAAGAGTCCATCCTCAGACACCAGCTGGGACCTTCCACCTTACAGGGAGGATACTGTTATGGAAAAAGTGATAAAGCTCCGGACAGATGAATGTCTCCCCTGGGGCCCCCAAGTCTCCTCAAGTCCCCCCTCTTGCTGTGGGGGAGGGTCACAAACTGTGCTGTGCTGGTCTGGTCTAGAGGAGATGAAGGCCATCTGCCTCTTCCCACACCGCAGCCTGGCTGCTCAGAATACCTAGGATCACTGGTCTGGTAGAAAGTTTCAATGTCTCAGTTAGGAGCAGGAGGCTTCTGCTTAGAGAACCCTAAGGAGTCAAGTTCAAGCTCAAGCTCCCTATCCTGGGAGAAGGGAAGGCATAGACCTGGAGTGGGGGGGGGGGGAGGGTCAGCTCACTCCTTCATTGGGCAAACAGGGCTAGCGGGCATGCCCAGTGAAAGAGGGACTGTGAGAAGCAAAGAAAGACATGGAGGTGGTTGTCTCTGCATTGGCCAGAAAGGGAAGAGAAGGGCAAAGGAGGGGTAAGAAAATTCTTCCGCAGCTGCTTCATAAAGAGTGTCTCTCGGCTTTGTCCATCCATGTGACCTTAGACAAATCAAAATACACAGAGTGGAGGAGATTGCAGTATAATTCATCATGTGATGGTCTCTGTCTCAAGAATATTTAAATATTCCAGATCAACAACTTGAACAAATATACAAGTTCAGCTTTGGTTCTAAGCCCTCTTTCCCCTCAGTTCAGGGTTCAGTTAAAAATAACACTAATGATGGGATGAGAGCTTTGGGCTCAGCAATGTGTAGTTTTTCTCCAGGTCCATCTGGTTCAAGTTCAAGACTAGTGTGGTGGTGTGGGGGGAGGGTTACATTCCCATGCTTCATGGGGTGACAGGGTGTTGGTGAAACACACAGGCTTTGGAACTAAAAGAAATCTACATTTAACCCATCGCAGGCATTTCTTCTCTGTGACTTGTGCCCTACTACAGTTAATTGGACTTTTATTTATTATTATTTACTAATGTGTTACTATCTGCTCCGGAGTAATGCACATGACCTCTTCAGGCTCCTTGATCTTTTTGTTGTTTGATAGTTTTGGGGGGAGTTATTGTTATTGTTGTTGTTGTTGTTGTTTGTGCCAGTACTAGAGCTTGAACTCATGGCCTCATACTCTCACTTGTATTTTTCACCCAAGGCTGGAGCTCTACCAGCTGAGCCACACCTTCACTTCCAGGTTTTGGTTGGTTAGTTGGAGAGAAGAATTCCACAGATTTGTCTATGTTAGCTTCCAAACTCAATCCTCAGATCTGAGCCTCCAGAGTAACTAGGACTACAGGCGTGATCCGCTGGCATCTGACTCAAGGCCTTCGTGTTCTTAGGAATTTCTGGTGATTTCGTTATTTCTGGAAAATGAATATATTAATAACCCTTCTGTTTCAAAGGATTAGTGTGAGAATTCAGTCCCATTGCTGTTTCTTAGTCTGACTTTTCATATATAATAAACATTCCACAAATCGTAGTTATGGATGTGTTTCCATGGGCTGTTTTGTTGTTGTTGTCTTGTTTTGTTTTATTTTTTATTGGTCCTGGGGCTTGAACTCAGGGCCTAGGAAATGTCCCTGAGCTTTTTTGCTCAAGGCTAGCACTTTACTACTTTGAGCCACAGCTCCACTTCCATTTTTTGGGTAATTAATTGGAGATAAGAGTCTCATAGACTTTTCCTGTTCAAACTGGTTTTTGCAGTTCTCAGATCTCAGCCTCCTAAGTAGATAGGATTATAACTGTGAACTACCAGAACCCAGCTCCATGCATTTCTTCCCCCCCCCCCCCCCCCCCCCCAGTCCTGGGGTTTGTGAACTCAGGGCCTGGGTGTTGTCCCTGAGCTTCTTTTGCTCAAGGTTAGCACTCTATCATTTGAGCAACAGCACCACTTCTGGCCTTTTCTATGTATGTAGTACTGAGGAATTGAACCCAGGTCTTCATGCATGCTAGGCAAGTACTCTACAACT